TCCAGATTCAGGGATTTCCATCGGGATTCAGGGGTTATCAATCGGGATTAAGGAATTAGTCACGGAATTATGGGATACTTGGTCGGACTCTGGAATATATTGCTCCACCCTGCTTGTAGAACATGCCACCACTCCATCCGTTGTCCACATCTGCGTGGATCGTGGGTCTTGTGCACAAATAGTCCTTATTGATAACGTTCTTGAGCTTGGGACTGACGTTTTCTGGGTTGAACTAAGGCAGTACGGGGTGTTCGGTGCAATACGTTCGCATCAACACTTTTCACAATCGTAGGTACCCGTAGTCAGGACGAGGGCGAGTCTGGACTGAGCACCATAGTGCTTCCAGACTCTGAGGCCCATCCTTAGCTCTTCGTCAATCGCTTCTCACACGTTCCACAGTCACTTTTCTTTCCACACATTCACATATGGCAATCTCGTATCCATAACCTAATTCCTGGTTCCACACAAATCCTTGCTTCCATGAAAAATTCCAAATCACTTCGGGTCAGTTGCGATGACGAAGGAGACTACCCAAGTGCGGATTCAACAAGCGCTACAAGCGGAGAGTGTGGATCAAAGATCGCAGGATGGCCAAGTGGGCGACCACCGAGAGACTCTGGATCTGGAAGCGCAAGATCCTACCGAAGTGGATCCGCGCTGGAGCCATGCCCATCGATCCTTCAGTGCGCTCAAAGCCAAGATCGCGAACTACTCCGATTCTACGGCACTTTGATCCAGATCGGAGGGCCACGGTTGTGGTATATGCCAGCGATTGGGCCATTTCGGGATCATTGAAGCAGGAATACGACCAAATTTACTATACTCTGAGGTCGAATGAGCTAAACTATGGCATCGCAGAGAAGGAGGTATTAGCCCTTCTGCGGATCCTGGATCTCAACTACAATGCACTGATCGGGCGTCCGATCCATGTGTTGACCCGACACTCAACATTGACGTGGCTCTTCAGATCCACAGCCCTACAAGGACGTCTAGGACAGGGGGCGGCTCTGTTGTTGCCCTGGACACTTGAGATCACCAAGTGTGTCAAAGGAGAGGACGAGATCTTAGGAGCACTGGCGGTCAGTATTACCCCTAGATCAGAAGTGGAAGATGTTTGGATCTATTGCTATGAATTATGAAGTGGATCAGTTGGATCTAGTCTTCTACTGCCCGACAACTAAAGAAACCGCTGCAGCTCGAGATAAGTTGATGCGATTGGTGGTACCTGAGACGCTTCAACAGGACATTTTGCATCACTACCACACGAGCCTACAGGGTAGCCATCAAGGGGTCGGCCGCACCTGCGATCGGATCCGTGATCATTTCCACTGGAGAGGACTGTACAAGAGTGTACAGCGATATGTGTGGGAATGTGTCGATTGTGAAACAGGCAAAGGACGACCCCAGATCCAGGGCAAGTCACCTGGTAACCTTCAGTCAACATACCCATTCTAGATCATTGCCATGGATCACATACCTTCATTGCCTAGATCCTTCAACGGCAACACCGAATTGCTGGTCTTCGTGGATCTATTCTCGAGATATGTGATCGCCAGAGCCAGCGCCTCTAGATCCGCTCAGACAATCGCGGAGACCTACGAGGAATGTGTCTTCAGCCGATTTGGCGCGAGCGAAATGATCCGACACGATCGGGAGCCAGGTTTTATGTCTGCCTTCTTTAAGTCTTTCAACAAGATCCTGGGACAACGTCAACGAGCTACCATGGCTTATCGACCCCAAGCTACTGGATCCGCAGAGTGTATGGTCCAGACAACTATCAGGGCTCTTAAGATGTATGTGCAAGACCTAGATCAACGAGATTGGGACGAGTATGCTGAGCGGCTCACCTTCGCGATCAACACTGCAAGAGATCGGATCCGAGGTGAAACCCCTTTCTACAGGATACATGGTTGGAATCCTAGATCCACCTTGGAGGCAGTGATACCGGTGGGGAGCACTCGTAGGCACGATTGAGACACGATCGAGATCCAAGAAGGTGGCGATATCGGATGCAAAAGTACTATCAACAAGCCCGAGAACAAGTGAACCAACGTTTACGCGAAGCGATCGCGGATCGGGCCGACGTGCATAATGATCTAGTACGTCCTCATCATGTAGAGTCTGGATCAAGGGTCTGGTTATACCTAGATCGAGTGCGTGAAGGGTATGCAAAAAGCTGGCGCATTTGTGGCATGGCCCATTCCGCGTCGCTGAATAGATCGGGGAATACGCAGTGAGGATGGAGGTTGCAGGATCCACATACAGCATTTTCCCGGTGGTGCATGTTTCGAAGATCAAACTGGTCAAGATATTCCCAGATCCACTAAGATCTCGTCTAAATGAGTCAGAGGGAGATCGGGTGGACTTCGATGAAGCTCTCCTACCTGAAGACAGCTGGAACCAGGATCGGGGTCCGGGTGAATACGAAGTGGAGCAAATGAGGACTGGCACGAGAATTAGATACGGCCGGATCTACCGAGAATTTCTAATACACTGGCGTGGATATGAAGATCCAACCTGGGTATATGAGGCAGATCTCAACTGCGGTGCTCTTCTCTATGAGTTCTTGCGAGATCGCACCAATCGCAACCGTTTTAGTGTGATGCAGTCTCACGATGAACCGTGAGATCTGGATCCACACCGGTGAGTTGATCACTAGTGTGGTTGAAAGTTGATGGATCTGCAAGGAGGTTGTAGATCAAAGGACCAGGTTTACATGACTTTGTATATGATGACATGTCGATAGAGGATCGAAGTCGAAAGAGATTGATTCTGAGATGGACATGGAGTGAGCAGAAACGAATTTCGCGCGGGAACGAATTTCGATTGTGGATCTAGGGCTGTATTATCTGAGAGATTGTGGATCAAAGGGCGAACGACAAGTGTGGAGATATTATAGTGGAAACCTATGCGGACTAACGTGGCTGAAGACTTAGTGGAAATAAAGGACACTGACGAACGCAGATCTGAAAAGAAAATGACATGTATTACGATTAACGAAAATGATCTGAAAAGAACGTAAGGAGAAGTGTCAGGATCATGGTTGAGGAGGAAGAGGCGGCGCGTTGGGGTTCAGAGCTGCCATGTTGAAAACTTTACCGGCGAGACGTGCGATCCGGCAATCGGGATGGCCCGCATGGTGCAGTTGTATTGGGTACGCCATCGATCTGCGGCGTCACATTCAGCGAAAGCCTCGATCAGATCGACAGGCCACGACGATGCCGTTGCGGATCCGCGAGATTGGCACTGCGAGCCTCGATCCCGGGGTACCAAGCCACCTCGTCCGTGCGCTTGGGAAAATGGAGGAAATAAGGATCCAGCAGCAGATCCAGATCACACCAACCTTCGCGCATGGCGATCAAGAATAGTCGCAGGATCTGCTTCCACCTAGCGCCAGCGTGAGATCGACGGTTCTTCCTGTCAACAACGAAGAGCGCCTGATATGGGTCGATGCGCATCAACGCCGGCGAGACTGTAAAACGGTGTGTCGATTCCTAGTAGGCGATCAGATCCTGAAACTCGACGGCTGAATATCTCTCGATCAGAAATCCCAAGCGGCCGTCAACTGTGATCTCGAACGACATGGGCTCAGGAATGTTGGCGCCAGTAAGTCATTCCAGGGAAGAGCGGCCATGAGATCACGAACGTTCTGACCCGTGATCAAGTGGCTGCAGTATTGATCAGGTCTCGGAGTAGACGAGACTGGGGAAGATCCACTCAGGACGGAACGGCAACGCCCGCCACAACACTTCCAGGGTCATCGGTCATGATCATCAGGGTGTTGATCCTTTGGATCACCCATGGGTTGACGAGTCTGTTGGTGGCCAGGGATGCACACGTGATCAGGGGCAAAATAACGTCGCGGAAGCATCGTCGAAACAAGAGGCATCCCAGCCGGATCCACAGGAGATCCGCCACCTCCACCACCACTACTGCTACTCGAGCCTTCTCCATCGGAATCACCACCGGATCCAGGATCTCCAGCTTCTCCAGCCCCAGTACGACGAGAGCAGCATGATCGCGGCGCCTCTGCTCGGATCTCGATCGAGAAAGAGCCATAAGCGTCTGAGCCTGCAACATGTCGTTCAGAGTGTCGTCGTCATCGCCGTCGGCCGAAGTGTCGGCTTCCGATTCTTGATCTTCTTCCTCTAGATCCGTGTCTTTAGAGGGCTTAGGATCACCAGTCGACCGAAGGGTAGACTTGGACTTGGGCTTGGAGGCGGGATCCGAGCTTGCGGGGACGTCAGGTTTCTTGGATCCACCCTTCTCGTAAGGTAAGTAGCGGCGGCTCGGGGGTCGGAACGGGACTCGCAGCCCCGCGATCCTTCTCCGACAGTTCGTCGAGTAACGCGTGATCCGGATCCGACGTTTTCTCAACGTCCACGCCTCCGCCCATGTCGTAGTCATCTTGATCTTCCTCGCGATCCAGATCCTTTTTGTGATCTTCAGTCATCGGAGCTTTTCTCTTTGAAGGACGATCTGCGTCGTGAGAAGGAGAGGGACCACGAGATCCCTTACTGGGGGGAGATCTTGATGCTTGTCAGTGGAGGAAGATCCATCAGTCCCGTTGGGTGTGGGTGTGTAGTCGGGGTCTTGGTCGGGCCGATCATGATCAGACTTGTCTTGATCCGAACTCTCTTGGCTGGGTTTGTATTGATCCGACATACCCTGGTCTCCATTTTCCGGGATCTGCTTGTCTTGATCCGGGCTCTCTTGATCCTGCTTCCCTTGATCCGGCTGCTCTTGATCTCTGGGAGGACTATCGAGACAGAGTTTGGTAGTGGGAGGGCTTGATCCCATCCCGGCAGCCACTGTGGTCAACATCTCAACCGCCTTCCGTAGTTCACGCCGCAGATCCGTGCACTCTCGATCACGGTGGGCCAGTCGACGATTTAACGTCAGGATCTGGGCTTTTTGTTCCGTGATCGCCCGTTCCGCGTCAGCGTATGCGATCCGAGCCACAGTGACATCATGTTCTGCGGAAAAGAAAAGGAATATATTAGCGAGATGGTGTGATCTAGATCAAGGAAAAGGAAACGTACTCAGATCCTCGCCCGCGTCGCGATATCCCTTCTCGCGCTTGGTTGCGCCGGCGAGATTGACGCGTAAGACCTCACAGGGCGACTTCGCCTGTTCGAACTCCATAGTTCGCTTTTGGATCTGACCGCGAAGTACATCCGTCTCGCGATCCATGGCCTGGACTTTCACATGTAACGTATCGCGCTCGGCCGAAACTTGATCGAATCGATCCTGGAGCCCTACACGTTCCGCCATCTGCTGATCCAACTTGGCTTGAAGATCCGACGACGACGGATCTGGCGAGACTATGGCTGCGACTTGGTGCGCGATCAGTAGATCGGCTTCAGCCCGATCCAGGGTCTAGCATGTATGGCGCAGCACTCCTTCAGTAACTTGTAGCTGGTCGGTGGCTTTATCACGGGTGCGATCCGCCGTGTTGCGCTGCTCCTGCAGATCCAGGACTTCTACACCTGCGTGTTCACGTTCCTGCAGAAGTCGAGTAACTTGAGATTCCAGATCCGCAACTTGTCGCTCGAGGGTGTGAACGTGGGCGGCGGATGCGATGCGTGCGGATCATGAACCGTTTGGGAATAGAAGTCGAGCTCAACTTGTAGCGCAGCCCGATCCGCCCGCAGGCCGTTGATCGACTCTTGCATGAACGAGATCGCTCGATCCTGCTCGTGGGTATAATCTCGAAGATCGTCCAGCCGATCCTGGTGCTCCACGGATGACGGATCCGACCCGCGGGGCAAGGTTTGGAACGCCAGAGCCGCCGTGAGCTCGTCCTCACGATGGAAGAGTCGCGTAGCGTAGAGGTGGAGCTCGTCACGCGTAGCGTGAGGCGCGAAGGCGGATCCTGGCGATCCGCCCCTCGAGGATCCCTGGGACGACCTGGGGCGTTGGACATAGTGAAGAACTGGAGATCTGTTGCGGGTGGAGAATAAGAAGAAGTGTCTCCAGTGATCCTGGTCGGCAGCAACAACTACAGACAGGAGGCGATTGTGGTGAAGTGGATTCCGAGAAATTGTGGACAGGAAGTGATCGGATCAAGTGAAGTGACGGGTATGCCTGGATCTGGAGTGACTACGGTGGATCCAGATCTGAGAAGGTCGGATGAACTCAGATCAACTGATTCTGAGGTGACTGGATTGATCTGGAAGAACCTAATTTTAGGTGCCAGATCTGCCGGATCCACAGCATTTAGTACTTGGGTGTGAAGATCCATCGATCTCTCAACTCCCCCCAAGATCC